TCTCTGCCAGTGCAGCTTTGCTTCCGTTTCCAGACCTGAGACTGACATGGCAGTGACCTTTGGGCGAGGGCCCGTGACACTGGTCTTTTATTTTTATTCTGGGACATTAGAGGAGGCCTCTGAAATATTTGAAGAGCACCTTGTTACAGTTTGTTTGTCTCACCGCGCAGTTCGGTCTGCCCTTGAACTCCCTCGGTAGCTCGGGCTGACTTTGAACTCAGAGATCCTCCTGCCTCGGCCTCCCCAGCGCCACCAACCTGGCTCTTGAAATATTTATGCATTTACACGTTACAAGGCCAGAATGTAGTCTAGAAGGAAGAAACTCAGAGGCTGGAACCATGGATGCGTGTTTTCCTTTTGTGTATTTCTTTTGAGCTGTCACGCTCTTATGGGTCTATAACAGCGAGGCGGAAGGAAGGCATCGCTTCCCAGGGAAGAGAAAGGGGGCCCCCTGCAGCCGGCAGTGTGAACAGGGTGAAGTCAGAACCAGGGTCTGCGTGGGCTGCAGCCCCCCTCTGTCTGCTGAGGCTCTGGCAGTGGAGAAGGTGGGGGGCGCGGGAGGAAAACAGGCAAGACGCAGAGACCACCCCACTCTGGGGCTCAGGACAGTTTTGCTGCCGCTCTCGGGCCGCCTCGACCCTTTACAGAGAGACTTGAAGTGCCTGAGCCAGCTCGCCTGCAAACCCAAAAGAGCATCAACCCTAAAACCCCAGCCAGACCCCTGATGAAGAGTTGCTTTTCCATGCAAAACAGGAGTGATCTGTTTGTCTTTCAGGGAGCCAGCAGCCACTCCCCTGGACGCCCACCAGCCGCTTTTTATAGCTCTCGAGACAATAGGCCCTCAGAGGGCGAAGCCTCCAGCGGCTGAGATCTGCGCATCAGCAGAGCTCAGCAGAAGCGCTCTCCAGGCTGTCATTAGCTCCTACTCTGGGCTGCGGTGTTGCAATCACCTCCAGTGAGGTTTCACCCGCTCTGGCAGCGACTCAAGCCTCAGGAATGTGCGGCGGCAGCGCTCAGAACCCAGCTATGAGCTGTGAGGCACCGGAGCATGCAGGGCGGAGGGAGAGAGGGGAAAGGCAGCTGGACAGGCCAGCTGTGTGAGTGCCCGCGTGAGTAAGTCACCCACTGCACTGCCTGCAGATGCAAAAGTTGGCCTCTAGCTCACACTCCGCTTGGATACTGTCCTTCAAAAGAAACTGTGAAATGTTTCGTATCTTGAAAATATAGCAGTGAAACCAGGCACAGTGGCCCTTGCCTGGAATCCCACACTCTGGGAGGCTGAGGCAGGAGGATTTCAAATTCATGCCTCAAAAAGTTAAGCAGAAATTACATTTGACCCAGCTATCCCTGAATAGGTACCTCCTCAAAAGAATTACAATGGTCATAAATCAGGGATATACACATACCCATGTCTATAACAGCACGATAGCTGGATCTCGAAAACAAGGCATGTGCCCATCCACAGACAAGTGCAGATAAAGTGTGTTATCATGTCTGTGTCTTTTTTATAGGGCTCTGATTTCTGTCTTGTACTGTGTAATACTTTGTAGGTAACGATACACAGTGTAATAACTATTGCTATCTTATTATCTGGTCAGGAAATTATGGTTTTTTTTTTTTTCATAAAGTAAAAATAGAGTTCACACTCAGGCTGGGTAGTTGAGTGACTCGGTGAGACCCTGCCTCAAAATAAAACTAATGAGAGCCGGGAATGTCAGTCAGGGCAAAGGCGCTAGAATCATCCAGGGAGGGAAGCTGCTTGTGGTGATACATGTCTGTCACCCAGCACTCAGGAGGCTGAGCAGGAGGACCACCATGAGTTCAAGGCCAGTCTCGGCTGCGTAGTGAGACATTGTCTCAAAAAAAAAAAAAAAAAAAAAAAAAAAAATCCAGGGAGAAAAAAGAGACGGTGATGGGCAGAACAAACGTGGACTTAGTGCTCAGGGAGTTCTGCTAAGTAGCTGTCAGATACCTAGAAAACCCCTTTGCTTTTCTCTTTTCCCCGAGTCACTGTCCCTCCTAATGACTTAGGAATGGCTACCACATGGACATGGTTTGCTGCTCACCCTGAAATCTCGCAAGACTTCAAGCCCCAAGCCGGGTGTTCATGGTGTCAGGAATGGAACCATAGCCTGGCCACAGGGTTCAGACCAGGCCTGTGGAAAGTGGTCAGGCTAGAGGGAAGAGGATTCCAGGGGCTTTGAAACAAAAGAGACAGAGATCAGGCCATGCAGACATGGACACAGGCTGTCTCCTGCAGTGTGACAGCCAGTGCCACCTTAGGGTGCTGCCAGCAAGGTCAGCCCAGAGTCCAAGACAGCGGGCCCTGCCCCATCATGACCTTGAACCTCCCAGCACCATGAGGAAAACAAACCTCTTCTCTTTGTAAAGTTACCTGGCATCATGTGTCTCCTTACAGTAACACAACACTGGCTAATACAGAGCTCCCTTTCCTGGGTCAAGGGGAGGTCTTTTCCCGGGGCTCCCCAGGACCCCTGATGGGGAGCATTCACCCCACAGGAGCAGCCTGCTCCCCTCTCAGGCAGCCAGAGTCAGCTCCAGCCCCGTGCTCCATCCCATGTCCTGGCCTCTCCATACCAAACCTTGGGAACTCCAGCACCAGGCCCCAAGTTGCTTAGCAACCAGGGACTGTGCCTCTGGGTGAGGGCCCTGCCCCACCTCAGTCTTCAAAGTGATCGATAAGGGGCCAGGGATTTAGCTCAGCAGCATAAGCACCTGCCTGGCAAACACAAGCTTGTGAGTTCGATCCCCAAGACCAAAAATAAAAAACCAAAGTGATGGATGAGTCAATTTACACAGGTGTTTGAGAGACAATGCCCCAAACTGGTGAGCTCGCCCATTCCCGCTGGCAAGTTATACGAGCAGCTGGGCTTCTTCTTAAATCAATTTGACACCACAAACCAAGAGCCTGACACCACTGTATCCCAAGGTAGGAGCCGAGGGAAATAACCCAGAATCTCGGAGCACAAAGATGTGCATAAAGATGTTCATTGCTGGGGATAAAACAGAAGTATTTCTCTCATACCATTCATAGAGAACTGAGGCTGAGGTGTAGCCCAGGGGAGGGTGCTAATCTCACACTGCAGGGCTCCAGTTGGGGCCCCAGGACTGAAAGGCTGAGTGCACAATGGTAAAGACAGTCCGTGTAATTTTGTTTATCAGTATGGTACACATGAGCATAGCAGCAGCGGGGCAGAGTGGCACACGCCTGTCATCTCAGCACTCAGGAGGCTGAGGCAGGAGAATCACCATGAGCTCCAGGCCAACTTTCTGAACAAGAAACTTGCTGGAGATTGCAGATCTGCTGGGATCCGGGCACAGTCTGAGTCATAGGTGGGGGACATGGTTGGTGACGTTAAAGAGACAGACACGCCTGCCAAACAATTAACAATGGCCCTCCATTGAGACTGATGATCAGGCTCGGCAGCCCTGAAGTATGATAGGATCTGGCCATGCAGGGCGCGGAGAGAACTCAGGTTAAACCAGCAGGCTAAGAGTGCGGTGCCTTCACTCGCTGATGCGACTAAAATCCCTGGGAATGGGTGAGATCCATGTGGATTCAGAGCAGAAAGGAGGGCACAGCACAAAGTGGGGAGTGTGGAGGACGAGAAGAAGCAGGGTTTTCCCAGGGAGAGGCCAGGAGGCAAGTGGGTGACACGGAAACCCAGAGGGTCCCAGAGCAGGCGCAGAGCTGAGGACATGCCCCAAGGAGTCTGAGCCAGAGACCCCCCAGCGGCTGATACTCCCACATCCCAAGTCAGAGGCTCCAAGCCCCCCTCCTCCACGCAGCTCTGGGATCCGGGCAGCAGCTGGAGGCCCCCGTCCTGCAGAGACACCACCCGAGCCAAGGGCAGATGGGTGCTGACAGCCAGGTGCCTCCAATGAGAGAGCCCACTCCCTTCCCAGTTACACTGGGTGCTGTGTAAGGCCTACCAGGGCAGGCCTTCCTGTCACACACACACACACACACACACACACACACACACACACACACACGCAATCAGTTCCTTTATGATTTGCTCTTAAACATGAACCACCACCACCAACAGTCACCAAACATCCGAAGAGACTCTGACGTAAAAGTGCAAACACCTTGGGAGGCTGAGACAGGAGAATGGAAAGAATAAATCCAATCTGGACGAACTGGAGACTTAACAAGACCCTGAGTCGTAATAAAAGATAAGAGTGGGGGAGGTAGCTCAGTGCAAAGGCCCTGGGTTCAATTCCTGGTACAAAAAAGAAGAAGAAAAAGGAGGAGGAGGAGGAGAAAAGCAAAAGATGGAGACAGTCAAATACAGACAGGGTAAATGGGGCTCAGAAGACACTGAGGCGAGGACAGATGCAGGTGAACTGTCACAGCCTCAACTAAAGGCCCAGAGAAAACACCACCATCTTAAAACAGGAACAAGCAACTGGGGAAGAATATCTGGGACCATGGGATGCTAAAAACACAGAAGACTTTTCAAACTTTTAAACAATAGGTTTACATGGCAACATTAAAGAAAATTTTCAGACGAACACAAGTGGAATGGAACGCAAAGGAAAGAACATTCCAGAAAGGAAGAAAAGGAAAGGAGAGGTCACGGCAAAGGATGCCTGCCCGCAGGAAAGCTGGCACTCGCAGGTCAGAGGCTCTGCTGGGCCTAAGGCAATGGACAGAGCCCCGGTGGGGTCACATCCCCACCCCGCAGCCAGGCCCCCAGAGAGGCAGAGGCCACCGAGCTCCGGGGGCAGAACAGAAGCTGGGTCCTCCAGGAGACGCAGGCTTCTCACAGCGACACCAGACACCAAGACACAGGACACTACAGCCTCGCATGCTGGGAAACTGAGGCCAGCCTGCTACATGGTGAGACTTGGTCTCAGAGACAGACACAGACGGGGACACAGAGACTCAGAGAGAGACAAAGACAGAGAGGATCATTCTTCCAGCAGTGAATTAGGAACTAATAAACGGCGGGTCCCTAGAAAACCTAAACAAATTGAAAAAGAGGTGTTTATTCCCAGGGAACATAGTGTAACTGTGAACAACATAGAAATAGTCACAGTCAAATAAACATCAAACGTGTCTCTAACCAGAAATTTGGACATGTGACCAGGTAGGAAGGCAAGGTGCACACATGGCAGCGGGTGGCGCTGTGTGAAGAGGTCTAAGTGCTCACGGAGACAAGCAGTTAAAAAGGTCAGCAGAAGTCAGGTGTTGGGGGCGCACAGCTGTCACCCAGCACTCAGGAGGCTGAGGCAGGAGGATCTCGGAGTTCAGAAGTACAGCTGAAAGGTGAAGGAATGGCAGTGTAAGTCCATCATGCAGAAACAAGGGGTGAAGCCCCCAAAGAGACAGCTTGGGCTGGAAGAGAGAGCAGTTGGATCCAGCTTCTGTTTATATACATGCATGTGCACACACAGGTGCTCTGCTGTCACCCAGACACAATGCCGCTGTTTTTATTTAACAGTGGACTCCAGGCAGAGGGCATGGCTCCCGAGAAGCTAGGGCTGCTCAGTTAGCTGGGAAAGGCTGACACATCCCCTGGGCAGCGACAGGCGAGGACGGGGAAAGTGAGCCACATGACTGCTAGTGTCCTGACCCTGACCCAGACCCCGACCACAGTCTTGAAAGCACGGTACCTGGGCAGAAGTTGAGCATGGGGATGGGGAGACAGGCAGACACCCAAGGTGACCCAAGTACAGATGAGGTACAGCTGGGAGAGGGTGGTTTCAGGCCCCCAGGGGACACAGGGACACCTGCCCCTGTGACAGACCTCTGTCGCCTCCTCCCTCCAGCACCAAAGCCACCGAGTGCAATCCAGGAGCAGAGGGAGGCTTTCGGGGCTCCAATGCTGAGCCTTTGGGGTAACGCGCCTGGAAAGCGGAGGAGGGGGAGGAGGGAAGAGGCTGGGGTTTGCGACCAACAGCCTGGAGCTTGAGCCCCAAGTCCCGCTGAGGTGTCAACCCCGAGATGGGCCAAGGCATGGCCTCACAGGTATGCTGAGGAGAAAAAGGACAGAGCAGGTCCCCTCCCATGTCACCAGCTCTCCTGCACCCCCCACCCCCACCCTCCAAGGCAGCCTCTGTCAGCCTCTGTTATCTGCAGGCTTTCGGGTTAAACTGCCCACTCCAGCTCCCTCCGTTCCAGGATGGGGACCTGCACAGATCCATCTGCATCCACCTGAGGCAGCTTTATTGTTAGCACCGGAGGACGAGAGGGAAGAGAGCACAGCCGCACAGGGACCGAGTTGGACCATGAGGACGAGGGCAGCAGGCAGCGGCAGCGGGCGGAAGCCTGACTGAGGCCGCTCAGCTCCTAGAGCCCTACCCGAGGCTGGCTGAGCTCTGCTCTTTGAGGATGGGCCGGGGCTGGTGGAGGACTAGGAGGAGAAGACAGAGGAGAGAGGAGTGGGGTGAGCAGAGCTCTGGCAGCCACACTGGACCAGGGACTCTGGGGAGAGCAGCTGCTGCCCTCCCCCACCCCCAGGGTAGCCGGGACTCTCACCTTCCCAGAGGAGTAAGCTTGGCCGGGGGAAAAGCTGCGGGGAGAAAAGGGTGAGTTAGGGGCACCAAGCGCAATGGAGGGGGCCGAGGGGTGGGCAGGCGGCCAGGCACTCAACTGGGCATCCTTCCCCTCCAGCAGGCGTCGGTAGGTGGCGACGGTAGGTGGCGATCTCCTGCTCCAGCCCCGTCTTCAAATCCAGCAGCGCGTTGTACTCCTGGCTCTGCTGCTTCATCTTGCAGCCCAGCTGGGCCAGCTGCTCCTCCATGCTGCCCATCAGGCCCTGGATCTGGGACAGCTGCACAGCAGGGGTTCTCTGGTTCTCCATCTCCGCCAGGCTGCCCTCCAGGGATGCTTGCTGCAGGAGGGAGACAGGGGAGCCATGCTGGCCTCTGCAGGTCTCTGGGAGGATTTCCTGAGTGAGCAGCACCCAGATGATGCACTGAGGGCTGAGGACCATGGGAGCTACTCCACCCACTGGGCCTTAGCCTCCCGCTCTCTGAAGTCCCCTCCAGGCCTCCCCACCATGCTGAGCTGGGACTGCAGCTAGATCTCCAGGCCCTGAAACACCCTGCAGACCTCTGAGACCTTGTTGTAGCCGCTCTGGATCAGCTCGCTGTTGGAGGCCACTTCCTTGTTCAGCTCCTCGGTCTGGAGCAGGAGAGAGCGAGAGAGGCATGAGCCTCCTAACCCCCTTACCTCCCCACTGGGTAGCTTGGCCAGGGTGCAAGGCCCGAGCCCCCACCTTGCTGAGGAACCAGGCCCCGGCGTCCCCGCTGTTCTTCTCAGCCATCTGCTCGTACCAGTCACCCATCTCATTCAGAATGTGGCTCAGGTCCATGCCTGGGGCCGCGTCCATCCCCATGTTGATGTCGCCACCATTCTTGCCCCACAGAGCAAGCATCTCCCGGGAATGGTCGGGGGCTGTCAGATGCTCAAACTCCTCTTCTGCCACTGGGCAGATCTGCTGACTCCCCCCAAGCCAACCTGGGTGCCCCAAGCCAGCAGCACCCTACTTCCTCAAAGTACTTCTTCAGATAGACCAGCTCCTCCTACAGGCCCTCAGTCTGCATCTCCAGGCCAGCCCTGGCCAGGGTCATCTTGTCCAGCACCCTGCGCAGCCCGTTGATGTTAGCCTCCATGCCCTGGCATAGGGCCAGCTCGTTCTCAAACCTGATGGCAGAGAGGTCAGAGCCTCAGCCCCACCTTGCCGTTTCTGAGGACAGAGGGGTCTATGGGCCCCACGGTCCCCACCTGCTGCCCTCAGGCACCCACAGAGGCTGCGCACTTGGTCCTGAAGTCATCGGCGGCCAGCTTGGCATTGTCAATCTGCACCACCAGCCGGGAGTTCTCCCCTTTGGCACCAACCGTCTGCAGCAGGGATGCGAGGACAAGGTCAGCAAGGCCCCTGCTGCCCAAGGGCAAAGGATAGGGAGGGGTAAGAGGAGCCCCCCAAACCTGCAGGTTGCCCGCTGGAAAGTCAGGTCCTGCACTTCCTGAGAGGCTAAGACTCCCTGTCCTCCCCTGTCTCTGCCAAGAAGTGGCTGAGGCTGAGAGATTCAGGGTTCTCATCCCATACCAGACTCATGGGGGCTAGAAAGGGACCCTCAGCCACCACTTGGCCAGGCAGGGGACCCCAGCTCCTCCCTCAAGGCACCGAGGTCTCCCTGTCTATAAAATGGGATTGCTACGGAGAGATCCCCAAGGGCCACTGACTGCAGCAGAGTTGCCTACCTTGTCCCTCAGGTCCTCGATGGTCTTGATGCAGGGGCTGTCGTCCTTGGTCTCGGCGGGCTGCTGCCTCCAGTACCTCCCAGATCTTCACCTCCAGGTCAGCATTGGCCTCCTCCAGGGCGCGCACCTTGTTCAAGTAGGAAGCCAGACGGTCACTGAGGTTCTGCATGGTCACCTTCTCACTGCCAATGAGGAGCCCATCGCCACCACTGAAGCCACCAGCAAGGCCTCCACTATAGCCAGCAAAACCTCCATATCCTCCACCAAAGCTGCTGCTGCTGCTAAGTCCTCCGCCATAGCTCTCCTCCACCCCAGCCCGAAGGCTCCCCCAGAGGAGAAGTAGGGGAGGTGACCCTGTAGGCGTTGGGGGCCAAGATGGAGAAGAAGGGACGGGAGCCACCTCTGACACTGCAGGAGCCCGTCATGGGGCTGGAGGAGGTGACCTGGTGGCTTCAGGTGGTCATGGTGCCCGGGAGGAGGTGAGACAGTGAGCAGGTGGCAGAGACAGAGAGAGAAGAGGTGCCGGGAGCTGGAGGGCGCCACATACCTGGTTGTTTATATGCACTCGGGCAGGGCAGGGGCCCCTGGTGACGACTGTAGGTCCCTGATTGCATCACTCCATCCCCAAACAACTGCCCACTCCAGATTACTCAGTCCATGGTGGCTCGCTCTGTCCTGTGCTGCTCAAAGTTCCCACCGGACTCTGGGCAGTGGTGCTGAGAGCCAAACTCTCGGACTGGAGTCGAGTGACTCAGGATGGGCAGCAAGCTCTTCGAGGGGACAGCGGGGACCTCAGTGCAGGCGACAGCATCCCCAGGCAGTGAGTCCCCAGCCGCAGGACTCCCTGCCCTGCAGTGCACCCCACCAAGCACCCTACCGGTCCAGGGTGCCCCTCCTTTCCCCGGGTCTGTGTCCTGTCTTCCTCCATGGTGATGGCGGGCAGGAGGACGCCAGAATCCTTTCAGGTCTAAAATTCCAAAGCTGCTCTCTCCCACTCAGGTTCAGTGGTGACCCTAGGACACCCAGGAGCAGTGTGGGTCTGATGACAGCTGCCCCCCAGGGCTGCACAGCTCCAGCACATCCTGGGCCCCCTTGGGCTGAGGGGAGGGCTCGACACAGCCACAAGGGGACACAGAAGGAGGAAGCTGCTCAGCAGCCCTCGCCCAATCCACCCTCAGGGCCTGCACCCCCTCCCAGGTGATGAGCACCCCAACACCTGCAGTGTGGAGGGAGGGACCCCCGACCCACCACTGACATTGACGGGTCACTGTGTAGAGCCCTGGACACGTGCAGTGCGGTCCTGAGCAGGGTGCGCTGGTCCTGCCATGGCCCCAGGAGAGGAGCTGGGGCGCTGCAAGCAGGAGTCCTGAGACCCCAGGCTCAGCCCTGCCCATGCCATCCTAGGGCCTCTCTCACCGTGCAGGTCATTCAGCTCTCCTTCCCCTCCCCCCGCCCCTGTCCCCAGGGCCTGGTGTGAACCGGCCAGTAAGGAAGACAGGGAAAGAACCCAAGTTAGTGGCCGTGTGCCCCCAGCCACAGAGCTGTAAGCCTCAGAGCTGGGCTGGAAACCAGGCTTCTCTCCCTGGTTCCCATGATGCCTTGCATCTGGAGGTCAGCTCTGTCCCCACCCACAGTGTCTGGCACAGCCCTCCCCACAGCAGGTGACCTCTGCCAGGACCCTGGGACCCAAGGGACAGAGGAGGGAGACTAGGGATCGGGTCCAACAGCAGAGGCCCAGCCCAGGCTGGAGCTGCCTGTTAAGGCCACCCAGGGCCTCCAAGCCCCTGGCAGAGAAGGGAGGGCCAGGCTGCCCAGAAGGAAGCCTGGGAAGGAGTTGAGTGGATCCAAGCCCAGCTGCACCTGCCAAACCAAGGTCCACCAGGACACGCGCCCTATCCTGTAGCTGCCATGCACATACACACAAAGGCACATGCACACACAGACTGCACTCTCACCTCCACTCAGGCCACACACGGGCTGGCCCGTGGTCTCCAGCGGCACCCAGACTACACTCCCACCCAAGCCCCGCTCTCTACTGCCAGAGGGAGGGGGGAGGAGGGGGTGTCTGGTTCTGAACATGTCATTTGACCCTGAAGAGAGACCCAAAGCCAGGCACACACCATGCCTGCAAGAAGGCCCAGGGGCCTGTACCAGAAGGGGCAGCCAGAGAGGGGCCCCTAACCTTGGCCAGAAAGGAGGGAGCAGCCAGCCCTGGGAAGACGGGACAGGAGAGGCCGGAAGGACCTGAGCCCACAGGGATCGGGCCTTTCCTCTGTGCCAATGGTATACACCTGTGCCAGGGCCACAGGCAAAGGCTCAAGCCCAGCTGGTACCCCTCCGGGCATTGGGTCCCTTGTTCACCCTCCTCCACCCCACCCCTTCTCGTTGGTGAAGTTGCACCCCACTTGAGCTGGCTGGGGAACCCTGCTGGCCAGTGCCCTGCCTCTTGTTTCTCCGAGGTCCCCAAGTCTGACTGGCCACCCCTGCTCCACATCCTGAGTCAGCATCATCCAAGACAAGACCAGCACGGGGCCGAATCCTGGGCTCTCCCAGGATGCCCAGGTGGGGGAGCCCAGACAGGGGTGTGGGGCCTCAGAGGGGACAGAGGGCTGCAGCAGAGCCCTCAGCCATGACGCAGCCGTGCCAGAGAGCAGGGCGGGCAGAGGTAGAGTCAACACCTCTCCCCAGCCACACTGGGGGCCACCCCACGCCCCTCCACCCCATCACCCAGGCTCAGTGTCCCCATCACACAACGGGGTACCTCTCCCAGGTCCTCCTCACTTCCTGGGTCCACAGTTCCCAGCATTGAGCTCCTCTCTCAGGATGAGCCTCCCATAGCCGGCCCCAAGCTGGTTCTCCTGGTCCCAGATGACAGATAGCTGCCTAGCAGGGACTCTCCTCCTTCCCAGGCCCATCCCAGCAGCCCCAGCAGCCCCAGATCCACTCCAGTGGCCCTGAGACCCCAGACCCTGTGAGGAACCTACTGGCAGGGACGGCCTGTCCAAGACAAAGGGCATCCACCACCCTGCTCTGTGTCCTGCACCTTCCAGGGCCCGAGACGCACGCAAGTCACCACACACCAGAGGGTGGGCTCCTGCTTTAGCCCCGGCTGCTCATCCCAGACTCGGCTGGTTCCAAGGCCCTGCTGCTTCAGATCTTGGGACTCTGCAGCTCCCAGGCCCCAGCCTGGGCCCCACAGCACCTCCCAGCAGTAGGACAAAGGAGAGGGGCTCCTGGGACATCACTGAAGCCCAGCTTTGCAGAGGATGGTGGGTGAACACACCATACCTCGTCCCATTGCCTTAAAGACCAGGAGAGACCTGAGGAAGGAAGCTGCCAGGCATGTTTCCTGCTCTACTAGAAGGAAGATTCCAGGCTCTGCCCTGACTCACTTCCTACAGATACCAAGCCCTGATCCCGCCTGTCATCCTAGGACTAATGATTAACCCATTACCATTACACTAACCAAAACCCTAACTACAACCCATAACCATAACCCTAAAGCTAACACTGAATCTAACCCTGACCCTAACCCATAACCCTAGCTCCTAACACTACACAAACCTAACCCCAACCCTAATGCGTAACCCTAACCCAAAACTAACCCTTAAGCCTAACCCTATCTTAGCCCCTAACCCTTAGCCCTGACCCTGACTTCCCACCAGAATTACCCAGGGCTGCTGCTCCGCGTCGGGAAGCCCCTCCCAACCTCCCTACAATGCCCTTTCCCACCAGTCTCCATGCCATCCGCACCCTAAGCAGGGACCTAAGAGGACCCCAGAGTCACTGCTCCAGGCACGACCACCTTCTGGGGTCCCTGTCTTGTTGACTTTTGGAGCTGAACTGCCCCTGTGCCCTTCATCCTGGGCGGGACTGGGGGAGCACTACTTGGAGTTTCCTGAGACCCCACAGGAGCCTGGCCCTGCTTCCCAACCTGCCCACTTCCTGCCTCAGGGAGGAGCAGCCGGCAGGGTGAGTCACCACAGGATCTGCTCCTGCGGGCGCCTGGGTGCTGCCCATCCATTTATGGAAGAGAAACCTGGCTGGGCAGGGAGGGAAGAGACCTCAGGCCACGCAGTTACAGAGCCGCCTCCAGGACTAGAGGGGGCCACAGAGGGTACTGGATCCTGCATCTGGATCCCGGGCAGGGGAGACCTAGCACACCCTTCAGCTCCCCCACTCCTCCTCACCTGGTCTACCCTGACCCCTGGCCTCCACATCAGCCTCTGTGGGCGTCCACTGACTGGTTCCCCTTCCTGTCCTCCCCACCCACCCATGGGCGACCAAGAGAGACTGTGTCTGAATCAACAAGCTTTATTGGTGCCAGGCAGGGGCATGGGGAAGGGACCAGTGCCAAGGGCAGGGGCTGTAGGGCAGAGGGGGTGGCCGTGTCCCTGCCTCCGGGGTGCAGGGTGGGGGCAGCTGGCCAGGAGAGGCTGGGCCTCAACGGGTGGTCTGGTGGACCTGCTCCCGGGACGAGATAACCTTGCCGTCCTGCACCTCTTCCACGATGGTGCGCACCTGGCGGGTGGTCACAGCTGTGGAGAGACAGATGGACCTCAACGTCAGCCACATATGCCCCTCCTGCCCTTACTCCACCCCCACCGGTGTCCGTGGAGAGCTCTGGCTTCCCCAGACGGGTATCTGAGTCTGACCTATGCTGAGGCGTGTGGTCAGGATGCCCCTCCACCATCCCCAGGGCATGGTCTACTCTCTCCTGCCCACCAGCCTGGGGTCTCCATGGAGACACCCAGGTCCCATCCCCACATTAGACAAGGAACCCCAGGGCTGGTCAGACTGGGCTCTAGAGGGCAAGGACCGAAGAACCTCCAGAGACAGGCCTGCTCTTCCCAGCTGTAAGTCCCAAGTGCACAGGCCCAGAGGCTGTCCAAGTGTCCAGGGCTGGGACTGCATCTCCCACTCCCTACTCCATCCTCATCAGAGCAGCTTCTCCCTCCATTCTGCCTCTGGGCATCGGGGCCCTGGGCCCTGAACTCTTTCTCGCCTGTCGCCTATAACTGTTGAGGATCAGCCAGCGCTCCCTGGGGCTCCTTAGGGACCCCCTCCCTAATGGCAGGAGGATTTCCTGCCCCACTTGAGCCCCAGCCATCAGCCGCTGAGGTCCTTACGTTCTTTGGGCTTGTACTGAGTCAGGCTGCAAGAGAAAACAGGAGAGTGATGAGTCTCAGAGTCTCTTGCCCACCCTGGCAGCCCTTGCCCAGCCTGGCCACTCACTGGGCGTCCTCTCCCTCAAGCAGGCGGCGGTAAGTGGCAATCTCCTGCTCCAGCCGCGTCTTCACGTCCAGCAGGATCTTGTACTCCTGGCTCTGCTGCTCCATCTCACAGCGCAGCTGGGCCAGCTGCTCCTCCACGCTGCCAATCAGGCCTTGGATCTGAGACAGCTGCACGCAGTAGCGGTTCTCTGTCTCTGCCAGGCTGCCCTCCAGGGATGCTTTCTGCAGGAGGGTGAGGGACGGTCAGTAAGGATGTCGATGTCTGCTTCCGGCCCTGGCCCACCACCCCCTGTGCATGGCTGCAGAGCTCCCACCATGCTGAGCTGGGACTGCAGCTCGATCTCCAACGCCTGCAAGGTGCGCCGCAGCTCGGAGATCTCGCTCTTGCCGCTCTGTAGGGCCTCGGTGTTGGTGGCCACCTCACGGTTCAGCTCCTCCGTCTGCAAGAGAGGATGGGGCAGCATGAGCCTGGCACTGTCCCCCAGCCAGCTCAGGGACAAGCAGCCCAGAGCTCCCCTCCCAGCCTGGCCAGGCCACCTTCCTGACCTCCCCTGTGCTCCTCCTGGGCTCCTCCTCCCAGCACTGTGCCTCCCCCCAGCCACCCACTCCCCCAGCCCAGGAATTCCTCCTTGCAGTGTAGCGCTTTGATTGTTAATCCCTGCAGGTGGGAGGAGGAACCGGAAATGTGAGAACCAGCTGGGACCTGCAGCCTGGCCCCTGCTGATTCCATATGTCCCAGGGAGAGGTGGAAACTCCTCCTCCATCTTCACCCTCTGCTTTGACCTACTGGGCTCCCACCCATGCCCAGCTCCCAGCTTCCAGCTTCCAGCTATTCGTGGGTAATGGTGGTCCTGTCTCCCAAATCCAGGTGGCCCATAGAACACAGGGCACCCGAGAGGCTGGCACTGGGCTGCCAGCGGGGGGAGAAGGGCTGAGGCCCTTGCACCCCTCTACCCTGCTGCAGCCCCCACCTTGCTGAAGAACCAATCCTCCGCGTCCTTGCGGTTCTTCTCGGCCATCTGCTCGTACTGGTCACGCATCTCATTCAGGATTCGGCTCAGGTCCACACCAGGGGCTGCATCCATCTCTACATTGATCTCACCGCCAACCTGGCCACGCAGGGCATTCATTTCCTGTGGAAGCAAGGGATGGGGGTGGGGTGTCAGTGGCCTCTCCTCAGGATTTCTCCACACCTGCTGTGAAGGCTCTGCCTCCAGCATCCACCCTGGCCCTCATTAGACCAATCTGATTCTCAGGCCTCTGCGCCCCCAAACCGGTCCCCTGTCTAATTTCCAAACAGCCCTGAGGGTTCAGACATGAGGGTTGCCGCAGGTGACTAAGCCCAGTGCCTGTCCAGCTCCCCCAGGGCCTGACTGTAGCCCCACCCCAGGTGCCACCGCCCACTCCTCGGCCTCCCTGACCCCGGCACCCCAGCCCCCCCACCTCCTCATGATTCTTCCTCAGGTAGGCCAGCTCCTCCTTCAGGCTCTCGATCTGCATCTCTAGGTCAGCTCTGGCCAGGGTCAGCTCATCCAGCACCCTGCGCAGCCCATTGATGTCCGCCTCCACACTCAGACGCAGGGCCTGCTCTGTCTCAAACCTGCGCAGGGATCAGGGGCTCATCCAAGCTGCCTGGGCCGCAGGTCAGGTCCCTGCCACCCCCTACCCTTCTCTGCCTGGCTGCCCAGGACTCAAAGTGCTCCTGGGCTGGGAAAATCACACCCTTGAGCTGCTCCCTGCCTCCTGGCTCCTCCTGGACTAGGGTGGGCTCAGCTGAGGATGCCCCCAACTCTCAGACCCTGCCCCCTGCCCCCAGCCCACCCCCTCACTTGGTGCGGAAGTCATCCGCAGCCAGCCGGGCATTGTCGATCTGCAGCAGGACGTTGGCGTTGTCCACGCTGGCCACCAGGATCTGGGGAGATGGTGAGAGAAGTGGTCAGTGTGGAGGAAGCAGCTGAGCCTTGGCCTGGGTTCCAAGCCGGCTCCCCACCTGGGCCCCATCTCAGCCCAGCCTCTCTCCTGCCCTCTGCCTGTGCAGTCAGAGGAGCTGGAACCACCTGCATCCCTGTTCCCCTGATATGGGGAAGCCCAGGCTCCATCCGGGCTCAGTCTGGAAGTAAGTAGAGTCTACTTGGATGGGATGGGAAAGAGCCAGCGGAAGTCACTGAGGATTCGCTGGAGCAGGAGCTGCCCAGGACCCCGGGAATGGGGACAGGCAGAGAGACCCCTGGACAGTGCCCGAGTCCTCCAAGGGTGGCAGAGGGAACCACTGCCCACAGAGGCTCCACATTAGACGCCAGACCCTTCTGAGCGGAAAGCCTGGGCTCCAGCTGGCGGCCACGCCCCCATGCTCTGTGAGCCCACCCTAAGGGGCAGAAGGAAGAACAGGAAGCCAGGAGAAACCCAGCAAAGCCCAGCAGAGACCCAGGCCCTCCTCTGCAGGTGCCACATGCGGCCCCCACCCAACTGTGCCTCAGCCCTCGCACTGACCCTGCTGCTCCCCACATGGCCTCACATCTTATTAGCCCAAGGCCACAGACGCTGAAAGGAAGCACGCCACCTTTGAGATGGAAGCTCCTGGCCCCAAGGCCAGAGCTGAGCGAGATGCTCCGGGATGGCCCCAGACGGGCTCCCTCAAGTGCAGATATGGGGAGAAGCCAGGTCTCCTCCTGCAGCCCGGGGCCTACCTTGCTCTTCAGGTCCTCGATGGTCTTGTAGTAGGGGCTATAGTCAGGGGCAGGCCCAGGAGCCTGCCTCTGGTACCAGTCCCGGATCTTCACCTCCAGCTCTGAGTTGGCCGCCTCCAGGGCCCGCACCTTGTCCAGGTAGGAGGCCAGGCGGTCGTTGAGGTTCTGCATGGTGGCCTTCTCACCTCCAGCCAGCAGACCATCGACGCCCCCAAAGCTGCCCCCATAGCCGCTGCCAGAGCCAAAGCTGTAGCAGCTGGAGAAGCTGCTGCCACCCCCGAGGCCGCTGCCCAGGCCACTGCCCAGGCCACTGGCTGTGCCCAGCCTGCAGGAGCCACCGCCCAGGCTGCCAGAGAGTCGGCAGGAAGCACGGGAAGAGCCGCCCCCCAGGCCAGAGGAGCCCTTGATGGAGCTGGAGGAGGTAAACTGGCGGATGGTGGTGGTCATGCTGGCGGCAGAGAGGAGCGAGACCAGAGGCCAGACCAGGTGCTGAGGCTGCCGGGGCTCGACAGGGCCTTTATAGGCCGCCCAAGTGGGCGTGCGATTACAACAGGCTCGAAAGCTGTTTCCATTCCCCTGGGCTTTCATCACTGCTGGCCGCCCGCCAGCTCCCAGGTAGCACTGGGCCCCCTCCCCCTCCCACCAGGGGCTTGACCTGGTTTCTGTGAAGCCCTTGCGTGTCCCATGTGCATGTGCGTGAGTGGCATCCTCTGCACGCCGTCACTTGTGACTCAGGCGGGCCCTGCAGCTATGCTTTCCCATGACCTAATACGGACAAGATGGGAACCTGGGACGTCACGGTCACCGGCCTCCCAGGCAGCTGCCACCCTGGCCGACGCCAGTCTGAGATGGAGCAATGGGGGTGGAGTCAGACAGCGCCCCGAGGTGGCTTCCCTTTGCTGGGGGCATCCTTTTCCCAGCACATCTCAGCACCCATCCTGCCAGAATCCCCCTCCTAGGTCCCCAAAGGACACGCTCCTGGGGCCAGGGCTCCCTCTGGCCAGTTCCCCTGGGCCGTCCAGGGCCAGGGCCTGGGTTGCAAAGAGATGGGTGTCATGGTCCGAGCGCATCAGCAGGGACTGAGGGTCCTCATCCCCCAAGGGGTGAGAGGCAAGGGTCAGGTCCCCACCACTGGGACACTAAAGACAGGGATGTTGCCCCACAGGAGATGGCCCCTCCACAGCGGTGCCCAGGGTGGCTGTGGACCCTGCCCACCATCCCCAACCTGCAACCAACCAGGTCCCCACTGGCTGGAATGTGCCTGTGTTTCCACTCCTGAGAGTCCCACCTCCCAGACAGGCCCAGACAGCGGCCGAGCCACCCTGCAAGCAGGACGCCCCCAACACCCCCAGCCAGGACGGGCAGAGCCGGTCTGATTTCCGGGGCCACACCATTGTCCCCACTTGTCTCCGTCAGAGGTCTGGACTCCTCCCTGGGAAAGCCCCCTGCCTACCCAGCCTTGGGCCTCTGTTCCCTGGAGCCCGCCCCGGGTGGAGGCGGGAGCCTCTATGACAGGTGTTGGCCAGGAGAGACTGCGGGGCCTCAAGGGACCCAGCCACCGGAAGCCAGAGGCCGGGACTCAGTGTGGAATTCTTTGAAACTTCGATACCAAGCTCTCTGCAGCCTCTGCCCGAGCCTGCCCCACCCAATGACCAGACCAGAAGGCAGTTTCAAGGATGCAACTTGGCAAAGCTTTAATAGTGGTGCCCAGGGAAGACCCAGCAGCCCCTGGCCAAGGGCCTGCAGGAAGCAGGTATAGAAAAGCAGCAACTCTGGGCACAGCCTGGACAGGCACCCTGGGCTAGGCGATGCTGAACGGGTAGCCAGAGGCCAGGGCTGCCCGGGAGCTCTGAGACGGGCCTGTGTGGAAGGCTTCAGTGGGTGGAGCAGTGCTCCAGCTCTCAAGAGGACATCACCTTGCCGTCCTGCACCTCCTCCACAATGGTGTACACCTGGCAGCTGGTCACAGCACCTGTGTGGGGAGGACAGGAACAGGGGGCCTCAGGCCGAGCCCCTGCCCCACTGCCACCCTATCCGTGGCTCCCTGGCGGGACAGTTACTCACCTTCCCGGCTAGACTGGGAAGCCATGGATGAGGAGTACTGATAGGCCAGGCTGCAGACCAGAGCAGCTGTCAGCCCAGCGGTGCCGGGCGGTGCTGCTGGAGGGGGAGCAGCTGAGGAGCCCCAGGAAGAGAAGAGAGGGGCTCTCGCAGGAGAACAGGCCCAAGGACCAAGGGCACGGGTGGGCAGGGAGGGAGGAAGGACACAGCCTAAAGGTGCTTGTGCTACTGTGACCACCAACTGGGGTTACAAGGAGCCACTAAGGAGTGGCTTTTCTGGTGCTGAAGGGCCCCACGCCAGGCTGCATCTGAGCAGCAGCCAAGACAGCTGGATTCGGAGGGACTCTTCCATCCCTCTCCAGGGACCAAAGGCGAGCTTGTGACTCAGTCCAAGGACCCAGGGACACCAACACCTTCCTGCTCCCACAGGCACCGCCCTGCTCCTCACCTGTCCTGCTCACCACGCAGTCATCTCAACCAGAAACCAGGGGCCGCACTCCCCACACCCCCAGGTGTCCACTGACTCTGAGGCCAGCTGGCCCCGCCCACACTCGGACACTGTCCTGCTGTTTGAACTCTGACCTCCTCTCCCTGCCCCTGCACCACCCCTGGTCTCCCCCATGCTGCACCTTCTTGAAGGGCCCTCCAGCCACCCGACCCTCCGATCTGTTTCTCCTTGTACCCATCAGGTTCCTCCTCTGCCCATGGCTCCCCATTGCCTGCATGAGCTGGTCCAGGTGTTTCCGCAGGTGTGTGAGGGTCCTCCCTGACCCTCTGCCCTGCGAACTCTTGCACACTACAAACCTCTGCCCACCCTGGCAGGCACCCAGACTCACTCACTGGGCATCCTCACCCTCCAACTGGTGGTGGTAGGTGGCGATTTCCTGCTCCAGCCCTGTCTTCATGTCCAGCAGCTCCTGGTACTCCTGGTTCTGTCACTCCATGTCACAGCACACCTCACCCAGCTGGCCCTTGATGCTGCTGATGAGCCCCTGTAGCTGGGCCAGCTGGGCCCCCTATTGGGCCTCGGTCTCCGCCAGGCTGTTCTCCATGGATGCTTTCTGGGCCCAAAGGACCACTAGCACCATGAGACCCAGCCGGGATCCTTCCCTGGAGTCCTGGGGAGGGGTGCCACCAGCCCCAAGGGCCAGGAACTAGGGTGGCCAGGAGCTGTGCACCAGGTCTACAAGGCAGGGCCCGTGGGGGTGACAGGGTGACAGGGGCCCACCACGCTGGGCTGGGACTGCAGCTCTATCTACAGATTCTGCACAGAGCGCCGCAGCTCGGTGATCTCGGTCCTGCCACTCTGCAGGGCCTCAGCATTGGTGGCCACTTCGAGGTTCAGCTCCTCCGTGTGCAAGACAGAGACAGTAGGCTCAGAGGGCTTCTGAGGGGACAAGGAGACAGGATGTGCCAGCCCAGATGCTGCAGCCTGGGGCATGGTGCATGCAGGAGTCCCTCAGTCCCTGCGGGGACCCCCGCCAGCTTGCAGCCACCAGGACCAGTCTGTTCTCTAGGCACCGGGAGCGAGTGCTGTGTGAACCAGGCCCCCTGGACCTGGCACAGGCACTGGAGCCCCCGCCTTGTGAAGAACCACTCCTGCGGGTCCCTGCGGTTCTTCTCCACCATCTTCTACTGATCTCACATCTCATTCAGGATGAGGCTCAGGTCCACACCGGGGGCCACGTCCATCTGCACATTGATGTCGCTGTCCCCCTGGGGGCAGGTCCTGGAGCAGAGCTGGTATTTAACCAGGGCCACCCTGGAGAGGAACCCTGGGACCTCGAACAGACAGAAAGACAGGCCCATGAACTGGCCACTCCTCAGTCCGCGAGGCAGGTGGAGACCCTGTATGTATCAAGGCAGGGGCTGTGGTACCAGCAGCCTCCCTGACCTCTGTGCAAGCTGACATAGGGGAGACCACAAACCCCAGCATAGGAAGGATGAGGGACCTCCCCGACACGAACCCCAGGCCTGAGCTTGGGACAAGCCACCCTCCGGGGTTGGCCAGGCCTTGTTATTTGTCCAGGATGAGGAACACTCCTGGGCATCCTGCCATGTGGGACTCAGGATCCTGGCCCAGGCAGGGGACAAGAAACCCTCAACAGGACCTCGGCTCCTGAGAGCTGAGCCTTGTGTATCTAATACCCATTTGCTAGAACAGGAGTCTGGAGAGGCAGCTGCCAGCTGCCAAGGGACCGGAAGGGGTCATGAGCCTGGAGGACCTGAGGGCAAGTCCTGGAAGCCTGAGAGAAACCCCCAGCCTGCCTCTCTGTGCCCCGGTCTTCAGGGGCTGAAAGAGGGTGAGAGCGCCTTTCCCTCCCCAGCATCCAGTGACTGTGGGCCGGAATAACTGCTGAGCGGGCTGCGTGCCTGTTTCAGATCATCAGCTGCTCATTAATTATCATTAATTATCATAATTAGCATCATACGGTTCCTGATTCATTCACTAGCCAGTTAACTGCCCCGAAGCCGCCAAGCCTCGGGAACACAGGGCCGGAGGGTCAGCGCCAGGCCCCCACCTCCTCATGGTTCTTCCTCAGGTAGGCCAGCTCCTCCTTCAGGCTCTTGATTCGATCTGCATCTCCAGGTCAGCCCTGGCCGGGGTCAGCTCGTCCAGCACCCTGCACAGCCCACTGATGTCCGCCTTCACACTCAGGTGCAGCCTCAGCTCGGTCTTAAACCTGGTGTGGTGGTGGCAGGGTGAGCATGGGAGGTTGGGGATCCCAGCGCCCCCTTTGACCTCGGGAAAGCAGGGGACCCAGACCCACTTGGGGCAGAAGTCATCCGCTGCCAGGCAAGTATTATCTCAGCTGGTGCTGTCAGTGATAGAAGCCAGGATCTGGGGGGCACTGGGCTCTGTAAGCAGCTGTCCTCAGCCCCTCCTGCGGCCTCTCCCGTGGGATGCCCAGGGTGCCACGGCAGGCCCACTGCACCCTCTGCAGAGGGGTCTGGGCTGCTCTGCCCCAGCCCCCAGCACATTTGCCTCTCGGCTCATAGGCCTCCTCCCCGGGGAAGCGGCCCTTCCCCGACACCCCGACTGGATGCGCCTCCTGCCCCCTCAGGATGCTGAGCCCCAGGGAAGCCAAGATGGCCACATCCGTCCTATTTCCTCTGGGATCCCAGGGCCCAGGCACAGTGCCCAGCTGAGCTGGGCCCCAGGCACGTTGGTCTAATGAAGGGATTAATTAGACAATTGATGGGCTGATTGATTGGTGAGGTTATTCCTGGCCCCGCCTCAAACCCAGGCAAAGGTTTCTGCTCCCATGAGGTCACAGGGCGGAAGGGGAGGTCCACCAGGAGCACAGGGCTGGTTATAGTCATCACCACAGCAAGGGTCTGTGAGGCAGGGAGCCCCCAAAGGCCCTGCAGGCCCCCAGAGGTGGGCTGAGCTCAGGGCCAGCCTGCTGCCCTCTCTAGGCCTGGGGGGGCC